CTCTATTTCTTCTTTTCCAAGTTTCAGACAACTCCTTCAAAAAAAGGAGTTCTAACGCCTAGAATCAGCCTCCCCCACCCCCCTTTGAGAATGATTGTCCCTCCATTTTCAAACTGCCAAGGTCCCTCTGTTCACACAAAGGAAGACCCGGACTCACTGATTCTTGCTTACTATTGCTTTTTATCCGCTCTTATCGTTTGAAATCAGTAATTATTACCATCACTCCTATATACTGCCTCCACACCCAACTTCACCTGTCTTGGTACCACTGCCGCCATGAAGAGCGTAACGGGCTCCTATGCTCCTGCCTTCTACTCCTTATCAGATGTACCACCTACTGTCGGTGTTCCCGTCGTGACGCCCGTATCCCTTCCAAACCTGAGGGCTCTAGGTCCATGGACGTATAAATAATGAACTGACGGTCAAACACACAGTGTCACGTACACACCACACACACACGACACACTCATACACCCACTCAGCGATTCAAATCGAAAAAGGCTAGCTATTATAAAAGCTTGCTCACTGGTTTTTGTCGATACGACAACAGCACATTGCGACATACTGCGAGTACCAAATGTTCCAAATGAATGCTATTAAGATTAGTGAAAGGGTGAAATCACAATGATAACATCGTTTTGAAGTATTACCGCAACTTATGGGTAAGTAAGCAGCCGTTTACCCACGGCAGTTCACCAGTTTACCTACTACACCCAAAAACTGTAGATGGACAAAAATCAAGACGGTCAATTCGACAGAGAAACAGAACTGCACAATCAGAAGTTCAAAGAAAAGGACGATTTGAAGGCGAAACCTAGGCAGCTAAACAAGAGAGTAAGTGAATGATATTCGATACCCTCACCGGTCGGGAATAAATTACATGTCGGAGAGGAAAGCCTGCCCAAATAAGGGAGCGATTGCCTGGATCGATAGCAGACCGGAAACGAGAAAACCAAAGTGATGGCTGGATGACGGCTCTGCCACATGCCACAACAATTCCAGAGAGGAGACGGAGGAGGTTCATACGAGGTTCTCCTCGGGAACGTATGGACCCTGCCCTTTGCAACCATTCATAAATTGAAAAACAAAATGATGAACTGTTTATAACTTGACATTAGAGTCTCATAAAGCTGTTACGTGACGGGCGAAAATAATTAAATTTTCATATGTAAGTAATTATGAAGGTTTATCCAAAACTACGGAATAAGTTCCCATGTAGCATTTCCAAATGTATTGGTAGTCCCCAGGAAACGAAAAAAACTCGAATTTTTTATGGGTTCTGATAGTAACGAAGTTATTGGTCACATTTTTTTTTCATTTTTTGCTTTTGAATTTTCTGTCTGCATTGAGAGAACTTTTAGACTACGACATTGTTTTGAAGTCTATTATTTTTGAAGACATAACTTATACCCTAAAAATACAATGTTTTCCTTTTGAAAAACATCGAATCAGAACAAAAACATACCCAAGCATGATTATGAGGAACTGTATTCAATTGCATTCTGCAATTCACGTACTGCAGTTACCACAGACTTTACGGCTAAACTGCCACTTTCCAAACATTGTGCAATATTCTGAAAAGTATTGTTATATTCATTGTGATTCGCATTGTTTTATATCCCACATGCCGTCGTAATTTCGATAATTCCATTATTTGCCAGAATTCCGTTTATTTCGTTAGTGTTTTAATGACGTTAGATGCAACGTTATGTTTATTTATTTAATTTTTCTTATGAAAGCAGCTGCTTTTTTTCAGGGACAATGAAATGCCATTACGAGGTATTAGAAGTAGCTAGGGACGCAGATGAAGAAACGATCAAGAAAGCATATCGGTATGTGTCAGACTAAACAGTATTTGATTATCTTTGTATTTTTTTCTCATCATCATTTTCTCTCATTTTCTCATTTTNTTTTCTGAACATGAGTCCTACACTGCATTCCTCCCCCGTTTGTCTAGCCCATAGCCGAAAAATTTTGGGAATTGCTCGAATCTCTCTTGATGAGCCCATCAAGGACATTAGGAAATGGTGTTTTATATTTCTAAGTGGGGTTTTCTGCAAAGAGTTTCTCCATAATCTGAATGTTTTCAGGAAATTGGCTTTAAAATGGCATCCTGACAAGAATCCTGATCGTATCGAAGAATGCACGAAATATTTCGCATTATTACAATCTGCTTATGAGGTGCTAAGCGATCCTCACGAGAAGGCATTTTATGATAGGCATAGGGAAAGTATTTTGAGGGGTGGTAAGTTATTTCTCTACAGATTCGATTGACAGGTGCTCATGACAGCGTTGAGGTTTTTCAAACGAAGAAATCTGACAAATGCATGCTTTTCAGGATTTGGTACTGAGTACAAGCAGGATTCCCTCGATCTGTTCCAGTTCTTCACTACTAGTTGTTATAAAGGATTTGATGGAGAGAAGGTATGTCTCCCTTTTCACATGCATGAATGGCCTACCTTTTACATAAGTGTTCTTTTTCTACTAGAAGAAAGAGCTGTTTCCTTTCTGCGAACTTTTCTGATCGAATTTCTGTTCAAGGGTTTCTTCTCGGTGTACAAAAAAGTTTTCGACACATTAGCCCGTGAAGACTACGACTTCATAGAGGACCCAACTGTGCAATATCCAACATTTGGCGATGCTTCCTCTGACTATGATACGGTACACATACTATTCTTGCAAGCGCTGTTATCGATTTCTACCAGTTATTCACTTTTCTATGTATTGCCTTTCTTTATCATCTCTCTATTCAAGGTGACGGGTCCATTCTATGGATTCTGGAGCTCGTTCTGTACAGCTCGCTCTTTTGCTTGGCTCGATAAGTACGATGTAAGACAAGCTAATAACAGATATGAGCTACGTCAAATTGAAGCTGAGAATAAGAAATATAGGGAAGCCGGTAAAGCAGAGCGAAATGACCAAGTCAGAGTAAGTGTTCCCAGATTCCATTAGTTTTTAGTAAAATTGTATATTCACAAAGTTTTTGCTCTAAGAATGCTGAAATTTTTAAAATTTAAGGAGTTGGTTGCGTTCGTCAGGAAACGTGACCCTCGTGTCAAGGCGTATAGGGAACTGCTAGAAAAACGACAAGAGGAGGCTAAGAGGAAACAGGAAGAGAATCGCAAACAGCAGATTCTGCGAAATCAACAGTAAGTCACCTGGCCTGTACTTAAAACTCTTCCTTCATAGGACTCCAGTACACTAATCACCTGATGACATCATATCATTTCAAATCAAATCAAATCGTTTTTGAAAGTTTTCCGGCGTACCGACGGTTAGGTCACTATGTTGAGAGCGTGTATACCTAGCATTCCGATATAGCATAGCGATTTTTAAGGCTTTTGTCGGCTTTTCACGAGAACGAACATGCTGTAGCAGCTCATCGAGCATACATGGAAGAACTGACACAGCAGTTAGCCGAAGATGAGACATGTAGTGAAGTAGAGGACGAAGATGGGGAAGAGTTACCGTATTGCGTCATTTGCGATAAACATTTCAAGACCATGTAAGTGTTTTGTCTTCATGCCATGCCAAGTATGCATGGGATAGTAGATTGCTGTTGACATCACAGAGCACAAATCTTACTTGCAGGAACGCAAAAATCAATCATGAGAACTCAAAACAGCATCGGAAACAACTTGCTGAACTGAAGAAGCACATGAAAGAAGAAGACCACGCTTTATTTGGTAAGCAGTGCTATAGATTTTCATTAGTTATCCAAACAATTTTCATTAGTTATCCAAACTACTAAAAATTATCCGACTGTGCTACAATGAGAGGCAAGCTATATCAGCTCAACAAACTTTCAATGGAGCTCTTCTTGGGCAAAAAACTTTGCATAACTTTTGACAGCGTTGGTAGGGACGTTATTTTTTTT